CAGTTTTTTTTTTAAAAGAAAATGGTGAAAATGTCAAAAAAATAAAAGAAAATAAGTTTCCCATGTGATATGTGGCCTAGTTGTTGGGAAAATTTGCAAATGTGAATTTCGACTTTATTTGCAAAATCTCTCTAGAATTTAGTAAAATGGGCATAACTTTTGCATACTAACTCGGATGAAAAAGTTTTTATATGAAAAATCATCTACTCAAAATGTTGCATCCAAATTTAACAGGGGAAACCTCGTTAAACATTTTCAAAATCCTCAAAAACCTAACAGAAAACAAGTTACGGGGCTTTTAAGATCTAGAGGCAAAAAAATTCAAAAAAATTTAGTTTTTTTTGAATTTTTGTTAAATCTGGTCAAACTACTTATTCAAGAAGTATTAGTGTTACTAAATAATTATTCGAGAATATTAGTGTTACTAAATAATTATTTCAGTTTTTTTGAAGTTTGGTCAAATTTGGTCAAACTATGGTCAAACTATAGTCAAACAATGGTCAAACTAATTATTCAAGAAATATTAGTGTCACTAAATAATTGTTTCAGTTTTTTTGAATTTTGGTCAAATCTGGTCAAACTATGGTCAAACTATGGTCAAATTGTGGTCAAACAATGGTCAAACTAATTATTCAAGAAATATTAGTGTTACTAAATATTAGTGTTATTTTTTAGAACAATAGTTTCAAACTCAAACAGTGGAATGTGTGACTTCATGCTCAAGGTAAATTCCTGAGGTTAATAGGATTGACATCTTACTATTGTCAGGAAAATAACAAGCGCAGACTTGAAAACGAGGGAGAATAGAACTCGTAAGTTAAGCGTGCTCAGGCTGGAGTAGTGAGAGGATGGTTTGAAATGATGAGGGGTGATTAGAGATTAGAGGTTAGATGGTTTGAAATGATGAGGGGTGATTAAATATTAGAGGTTAAATTGAGCAGTGTTGAGGGGCGATTAGAGATGAGAGGTTAAAATAATTCAGAAATTTGAAAATACAAAAAAATATTCCAAAAAAAATCAAACTTTTTTAAAAAAAAATCATAAAAATTCCTTTAGTACCGGTTGGTGTTACCAACCGGGACTAAAGGTGGACCTCCAGGCAGCGGACACGTGGAGAGCCTTTAGTCCCGGTTCGTGTTAGAACCGGGACTAAAGGCGGAGGCTTTAGTAACGACCCTTTAGTCCCGATTCCCAGAACCGGGACTAAAGGCCCTTATGAACCGGGACAAATACCCCTTCTTCTACTAGTGAATTAAGGGGTCTAGAGTGGGTAATGATTAGACTAATAGAATGGAGAGCAATATACATATATGAATAATCCATACACCGATGATAACAACACCATAAACGAGACCCAGCATAAGAATTACATAGATTATATAATTATGTAGGGTGGCTCGTGCGATCTGTATAATTGAGGTATAAATAGAGATTTGCTACATAGATACTACTATGAACTTGTAGTGTGGATATACTCTTAACCTTAAGTAGCAATATAGCATGGCTATGCATTTATGGATGCGCTCACTAGAGGGGAGAGTGGGGTATCTTTCTCATTGAAGAGAGGGGCAAATCCCATCTTGAATGCGCTCACTAGTACATACTTCATGACAAACAAGAAAACAACCTTTATGATTGTCCCATTATGGAGTAGCATTTGGCAACCCCTAAGTAAATCTCTACCCATGTTGAGATCATACGACAGTCTTAGATATGAGGACATAACATACACATTGTAAGAGACAACCAAGAGCATTCCTGCTATTCTCAAGTTGGTTCTTTCCAACCCAATGTTCATAACATGTGTTCACATTATTGGTTTGACATCTCCATGTCCGTGACATGTGAAACATGGCCATGAGAAATTCATCTGGTAGTCTAATATTCATTTATGAGCTCACATGAACTCAACTTGGGATTACTCTAAAAAAATTAATTCAACACAAAGTTTCAATAACAAAGTTGAGTACTTGCCAACCAATAAAAATGATGTTATCAACCAACATTTAACACTTCATGGATACAATGAAATATAATCACTACTATGATTGCTTTTAGGGCAAATTTTCATCAAATTTCTCCTCTAAAGGGGTACTGGAGAAATTCTCCAGCAAAGCCCCGCCTCGGATCATGAATATCTTCTTTGAAAACACAGTGGAAAAATTCTTTGCAAATAGATTGGAGTTCCAGAGTTATAAATTGTTAGGGGCGGTAGGTCCGCAAGCTAGAGGCCACATGTCCACTGGTGATACATCAGGAGCATGGGACCCACATTTGCCCATGCCCTTCTCCTTTGGTAGGTCATCGTCTTCCGAGATGTTACATGTCCTGGTTATTTTAGCTCGTAATGTTCTTGAAGTCAATATAAAATATTGCAATAAAAGATAACAAATACAAATATGAATCCAAAATTTATAGTTATGTTTTAGATGTAGCACCTAGTGCACCTCGTGGAGCATGGTGGGCAAAAACAGCCCATGTGCATTGTGAGTCCTGCATCTCCAACACACTTTTATTACTATATTTTTGCAAAGTTTGGCTCATTGCACACCGTCTGTCCTCAGTGGCATGTCTGATTTTACTTGCGCGCTATAAAATCTTGTAACTCCTCTAACCCCAACTCTTCTCACTCTTTGTCATCCTCTCCTGATCTCTCTTGATCAGAACAAGAAGCCGATGAGCTCTCGATCTCCACAACCTTGTGACCAGTGGGGTAGCCGCAGGCCATACATGTTCTACAATGTCAAATAGTGTCTAAATTGCTACAGTCAACAAAGAAACTTGGTGTTACGACCTAAGCCGCGGGCCTTGTAGCCTTGAGTCCTGTCTACGCCATTGCCGGTCACCACTCCCCACTCACACTCGTAAGTCGTGATGATCTAGATG